ATAATACTCGTCAAACAACATGTTTTAGCTCTGTTTGTTGGCAACAAAAGCACATTTATAAAAAGCAACGTGAAGTCGTCATCTTAAAAAAACAGAAGGAGTGTGACATGCTTGTCAGCCACTAGATGGTGCCATCGGATAAGAGAAATACTCAGGAAAGAAGCTTTAATGATGCCACTTCTGGGCATTTGTTCTCGTAAAATTGGATTTAACAGGTGAAATAATTTGACAGGGAAGGGCTTCCAACAACACTTTTAAGTAGGGTTACGGTTAAATATGTTCACTTTTAGTTTGTTAACTTTTAAAAGGAAGCAAAAAACTTAAATTGTCAAACTAATTAGCATTAATTAATGAACAACATCTTGAAAATGGAAAAATAAATTTTACTTGTTACATTAATCATTTTCATGTTTCTTAGATTTTTCTGTCAACAAAAGATTGTTTAAAAGCTCATTGCGCAAATATGCGCTACTGTGTTCATGATCTTTGTTTACATCAGTGTGTGTTTATACGTCTGTGCCTCAGAGCTGCCTGTCGCAGATTTCTCGTGAGGTTGTCTTCATGTTTGCATCTGTAGATACGAGCTTGTGTAGTGGATACCCACGGTTTGTTTAGTGCCTGAAGACGCTCTCAGCCTCTGCGTGTTTGTGAACGCTAAAGATAAAAGAGAGCAGCCGTGTCTTGTGGCTGCAGATTCAGAGCCCCGTCCGATATCAGCGCCTGTTGAGTCTGATCACAACCAGCTGAAAAGACAAATAAATAAATAAATAAATAAAGCATTGTGAAGAGAGAGTGACTAAGTGAAGGCAAAACAAGACAGATGGGAGTGAAATCCAGAACAAAAGACATTCTGGGAATAAAAATGTGAGTGTTCGAGAGAAAACAAAAGTGTGAGTGTCATCAGCAAAGAGACAAAAGAAGAAGAGGCCATGGAAGAAAAAGCCTGGTTTCATCAGCACTTACTGTGTTACTGTCACCTCATTCCTGTAATCAGATTTCTTCAGCGGCAAGTTAATAATCAACCTGGTATCTGTAATTAAATTATCAAGCCTTTTATCTTTGGACAGATGCATCATGGTGATGACTAAACAGCAGGGTAAAAGGCAGGATTATTGCATGTAGCTGTGATTTCTTGGCTGAAAATAACTCAGCACTGATGCAGATTAAGACTTAAACAAACAGTGTGGGATGGCTAAAGTCACCTATTTATTTATGTCTACAGACACGTTTGGGTCTTCTGCTTCGCTGAAAGTGTTTGAGCTGCTTCACACAAAAAGGATGCTTCAGATTATTTTAAGACTGTAATTGACAGGATTAAAAACTAAAGAATTACACAGAAAAGTCCAGTCTAAGATATTTTAAAGGCATAAGCTTTTTGTTTGGCAGAGATTGAACGGCCTATTTCATTGCGTTAAATTCAACTTTTCTGTTGCATCCTTGAAAACTTTTCCTCTGTATCTGTTTAATAGTAAACTTATTTTCACTTTTGTGTGCACCTTCAGGTGAAAACAGGGATTGTTTCATGTATATACGTATAAGTAGACAAAAGAATAAAAACTGGAATTTGACGCTGAAATGAATTGAAACGGCCCCTTGTGGTGGATTCCAGAACAATTGTTAAGTACCACCCTCTCTGTTTAATCAAATGGTTAATTTTCCAAACTGAAAATAAATAAATAAATAAAACACCTCAAAGTGCTGACTTCTGTATATGTTCCATGTTCAAACTGTCATTTTTGTAATCATTTTAGTTGTAATAGTTTTGATATTTTTAAAAACAACATGAAGGTGTCCAGCTGAGGAGGCAGGGCATCAACTTAAGAGTGTAGAATCTAGTACTTAACAAAGTTACTTAAGATAGGTATGATTTTATTTATGATTTTATTTTTAAAGAGCAAGTCACCCCCTATCAGAGTCTTATTCCACTCCCACTTCCTGTTTGAAAAATGCTGTTGCCTGGCAGAACGAGAGGGCAGAGCCGCTAACAAAGACACACACACACACACACACACAGACACACACACACACACACACACACACACACACACACACACACACACACACACACACACACACACACACACACACACACACACACACACACACACGCGTGCACAGGCTCCCAACAACATTGTGACATTTTAATGTACCAGTTTACGTCATGGTGTACCTCTTAGCAAATAACAATGGCAGATTTAAATTCAAATGCAGTGCTGAGGTTTTACCTGAAGGGGGCTCAAAAATAAAAAAATTAACTAAGATGCACAAAAGTGCCAAATTATTGACTACACATGTCTCCAGCACAATTGGACATTTATATAGTTTTTCTGCACACACAAAAAATTGATATGGGGGACTCTTTTTATTGACCTAGAATGTCATCATTTTAAGTGTGTTTTATAAAAGGTTGATATTTAAGTTGGGTCCCATAGTAAAAGAAAAAAATATATCACTTTCTTGCATCTTTCTTTCGACTCCTTTATGAACTAAATCAAAGATGGAGCCCAGATACGTGCATTTTGTTCAATTTCAGCACCTCTTTCCCTCTGCTTGGGTTTCTTTTGTAGCATATTTTGATTTTATTGTAATGTTTTGATATATTTTCTTCAATCCATTTTTCATGCCATTGTGTTCAGGACTTTATTCAGTGTGGCTGTTTTTAAAGTGCTTTATAAATAAAGTTTGCACGGCTGAATAAACAGAGGGCTTTAATAATAAAATGAAAAGCTGTCAAAGCTGCAGCAAAAAAAAAGAACAAAAATGGAGCTCAAGTGGCAGGAAACCATGATTACAACAGGAAGATCTGACAAAGGTTTGAGGAAACAAAGGTGCACATATGCAGGTGATTAGAGGAATAAGGAGCATCTGACATGCAAATGAGACAGGTTGGAGATCTGAGGGAAATTAATGCCTGGATGACACCGGGAGTAGACTGAAAATGAAAGGAGCTGATCACGGAATCGTCCTGGTTCTCCTGCAGGCTTTAGATGTTTCTCAGCTTCATCACATCTGGTTTAAGTTTATGGATTAGTAACAAGCTTCTGCAGAACTTGATGAAAAGGTGATTTCTTTGAAACAGAAGGTGGATTCCCCAATTTTTGGATTGGCGTTGCAGCCAAGGAGGATTTTATTGAACCTGATGCTGAAGATGTGAAGATGGAAAATTCTGCAGCATAATTTAAAATCCCAACTTTAAAAATCTGTTAGTTTCTTCCACGTTAACAGTAAATAAATAATCACATGAGCTTCTGCTGACCTGCTTCTCTCGGACCCATCTCTGATTCTGTGTTTTGTTGTTTTGCACAATTTTGAAGCTACATGCAAGCTACAAGCTACATTTGAAGCCATGTTTTGGCTTCAAACAAAAGTTTATTTTGCACCAACTCACTTTTTCACATCATATTGAGTCGGTCTGTAAGGAAACTCAAAATGGAAAACCAGAGGAGATGCATGCTGAATGTTTTCCCATCACAAAGCCCCACAACTAAATGTGATCTGAAATATGTGCACAAACCTCACCCATCCATCCCAGATGAGAGTTGACAGCTGCCACAACATCGTTTATAAGCTGTGATGGCTGATAAAGTTGGTTTTACTTCAAATCTGCCTCTTCTGTGTTTGAACCATAACGATAAAGGAAAAATCTTGCTTAAAGATTCAAGTAATCATTTATTTCAAGCTTATTGCATTTTTCCTGGCTTGCCTGTTAACCACATAAAAAATGTTAATTTGGGGTGTCCAGACCTTCAAACGCTGTTGCATAACTGGAGTCAGGGCCACTGAAAATACAGCTTGTAGTTTTCTGTTATGTTAAAGGCTTTGTTTATCAGATAAAATGCTCAAGGTTAAATAACGACGGCTAAATGAGCCAAGGCCATAAATCTGCAGCTGAGAAGCTGCAACACGGTGCTTGAAGATGCTGAGATGATCCACATCCTTAAAAGAAACCCAGGTTACAAAACTTTGTGGTTCTTAAAAGATAAATGTTAGTATCAGTTATATTAAAGTGGTGTAAAAAACCTTCTTAATGTCTTCATTTTTATAAAATTTGTAAAAATTGTTTAACTCGTCGGTCGCCATTGTTGTTAGTGTCGCAATCCACTCTGGGTAGTGACGTCCTATGGTTGTACCTCGGTTGCACCGGCCGGCTTTGGGACCCTTTAGTGACTGTTCAGCAACATCAGCATGCCATCTGTTCAGCCTTTTCAATTTGAAACAGAGCGAAACATTAATGAGGACATCACTGACGATGATTCACAAAACGGTCATCAAAATGAAGAGCAAGAAGGGTCCTCCAACCAGTATACGTCATCACCCCCAGAGTGCATTGCGTGCGGAAAACATGGCATCCTACGTATGTAAAAAAAATAAAAAGTACTAAGTGTTATAGATTTATAAATAAACAACAATATTTTGTGTGTTTCTAACAAAATAGTTTGGTACGACAGAAAACTTGTGGCTTACTAGGGCAAACACGTCCTCATAGCCAGAGTTCCTTTTAAGATGAGTTTCTGGGTGTAATCTGGATTATTAAAATTGTTAGTGTTGCTTTAAAACCCAACAGAACATTTGAATCGTCCTCCCAGATGCTGAACAGGGATGAGTCTTCTGTGCTCGCCCAAAGCCCATTCCTAACTTCCTACACGACACAATTTAAAAAAGTTTGCGTGAGTTTGAAGATGATGACATATGAATCAGAAATAAGTTACCATGGTGAAGAGAAGCTGCGAGCTGAGGGTGGAAGAAGATCAAATAAGAGAGTGACAACAGAAGAAAGCAAATAGTGAAAAAGGAGAAGAGGTTTGGTTTGACACATAAAACAAATATGAGGCAAGTAGAAAGAGACAGAAAGAGTGGAGAAGGATCTGTTGCTGCAAAATGTAGAAAGACACTTCCTAGAGCGAAAAGAAAAAAGCATGTGGAGAAAGGAGGAGGTAGGGAGGGAGGGTAAGAGCTAAAGCAGAGGGGAGGGGATGAAGGAGGCGAGGGAGGACCAGAGAGAGGAGAGACAGAGAAGCAGCAGCAGCAGCGTGCAGGGCTCAGAATGCAGACTGCTGGTCACTGACGTTGCTGTTGGACTCTACACGCACAGACACACACACATGCACAGACACACACACTTCTGAGGAGTGTATGAGACATGCACAGGCTGCTGCCCATGGACACACACACACTGGCAGGGCACCAGAGAGGAAATACAGCAAACCCCGGAGCTTGAAGAGCTATGGAGAGCAGCATGTTCTTTGGTGAGTGTTTGTTTGGGTTTGAGCTCGTGTTGGCATCATCTCATCTCATCTCCACATCTGTACTTGCGTGTGTGATTTACCATCTTCTGAGTCCAAACAGCACCACTCAACAGCAGCTCTGGTTTCTATTAGAGGAGAAGAGTGTGAAGTTACTCACCTGAACGACCTCTTTTTGTTTCTCTCTCTCTCTCTCTCTCTCTGTGTGTGTGTGTGTGTGTGTGTGTGTGTGTGTGTGTGTGTGTGTGTGTGTGTGTGTTAGCGTGGTCAAACACTGAGAATAAGTGCACATTCCTCCTTCTGCTGAGTGTAAATGTTATCCGGCTGAGCTGATGCGTGTTCTGAAGATGACAGATGGAAGGGAACTGCTCCTAAAGGGTTCTTACAGATGCTGAATGAACCTGCTCCTCAGGTTAACTTCCTAATCAGTGTCAGGATGCACAACATGCATTTGAAACAGGACTTAGATGGGAAAAGTAACTTTGTATATGTACAAAATTATAAAAGCATCAAGTCTCTCCTTGTTAGAACCTCACAACGAGCCTTATTTGACCTTATCTGCATGTCGATTGTGACATTTCCCATCAAAGGGTTTATTCTCTAGTGCTAACGAGACACCTGTGTTATTGTGCATCTTTTGGACTTTGGGATTTAACCCGCTGACTGTGTTCAGGAATGCTAGGTGAGCAGATCTTGGTATTCTGTGTAGGACGTGTAGCCGTGGCCCTTCCATTAGTTTATATGGATCACAGTGGAGCAGGCTTTAGGAGACTTAATGCAGCTTCCAGTCAAGGACTCCTCTCACGGCTGGCTTACACCAGAGGAATAATTACTCAGGGATCCATACTTCTAAAGGAGGTGATTTGTTAAATGAAAGACACGTTTCTATTTCTCTTCTTTTAATCCACGGGGATTAAAGCGATCTAAAGTTGCAGAGCGTGGCTTGTAAGAGTGAGAAGGATTACACGGAGGAAGAGGAGTTAGGAGGCTTAGACATCTCGGGGCTTTTTCAGCTCCACTCCCATCATCGTCCAGGTGTGAAACAGCTGGAAAGGGTGGAGAGAAAGACAAATGAAGCTGGTGAGTTTTGTCTTTAGGTAGGCTTTGATCTTGGACCCGTTTAATTCAACGTGATTAACGGCGAGCGCTGAAAAAGCTCAAAAGAGCACTTCAGAGAGGATTCGGATGCTGCTTTTGTCTGCAGCTCTTATCTTTTTGGTGCGAAACAAAACAAAGGATAGAAAGGGTCGCTGTCTGGAGGTGCAGCGTTTTAGCGTGTGAGTGCATGAGCACGGGGCGGGAGGGGGTGTAGATGCTATCTCCTAAAAGATTAATAGCACTGTTAGTTCATCAGCTCTGCCTCGCTGCTGTTTAAAAAGGGATTTGCAAAAATGATTTACACCCAGCAACATATTAGACCTTTGACCTTCCTGAAACAAGATGCCAGAATTGAAGAAAATGGAAAGCAGATCAGAAGGAAGGAAGACACCAGGCAGTAAATAACACCAGTGTGAGCAGGTTAATGGATGCTAAGTGTGTCCTGGAATCCTATGAGTCCAAAAGGAAATCACGTTTCTTTTTTGTTTCTTCGTTCTTTTGATGGGAAGCACACGATATTTGATGGTTGGAGCTGATTCAGACATCTGTGTTTATTGTAAGACTGCTACAAGCTCCTGTTTGCTAACGGGGAAGTGGATGGAGGCACTTTGTGAGCCAAAAGTGCCGAAGCGCCTCATGAACCCCCCTGCCCCCCCAAAAACAGAACTTATCTTGTAAAGGTTAATTGGAAAATGAGTGAAAGTGTAGCTCTCTGAATGTTTTAAGTCCACCCTTTGTTGGTTTTAATAGGGGTGAAATGATTGTATCCCCCCTGCTTGAAGGGAAGGGCTGATCTCACAGCATGTTAAGGGTCAGCGAATACAATCAGCAAGCTACGCCAAAACACAAAACTGTTAATCACATCAGCAGCGTCGTTCGCATACGAATGAGTTTTAGTGGAATTCCGATTTATCTAATAATTGGATTTGTATTTGCCGAGGGAAATGGAGGGGCTGTGTGAAAGCATTCTTTTTATTATGAGCTCCTTCGCCTGCATGGACTCTCAGCCTCTCTAGACAGATGTTATCCGAGGAGCCGCCAGGTTCAGGACAGCGAGAGGAGGTGGAGGCGAGAGCAAGCACAGATGATTAATTATTTATGCCAGTCAGCGTCCTCCAGACATCATTTTTACTCTCCTGCTCTCTCCACGTAACGCCGCAGGAGTAAAAAGATGCTGGAGCCCGACTACACTGGTCCTTCAAGGAGGGCGAAGCAGAGGACAGTCGGACTCAGAGGCATGGGGTGATGCAGTGGCCAAAAAGGCATCCTGTCCAAATGTACTGTATATACGTGATGCATCATTTAACATGGCCTCAAAGAGACTGAGTAACCAAGGGCCAGTGGAGAAACAGCTTTCATCAGTTCCAGTCATTTTCAAATGTTTCCAGGAGTCGGATCTCATCCCAGCTGCACAGCGGAATAGTTCTGGGCTTCTCCAAAAGCCCAAAGTTGAAGTGTGTCAGCGAGTTCGGCTTCATTCCTTTCATTAGCGTTGAGTTTATTTAAATAGACCTTGAAGCTCGATTATAACCGACATGACAAAGAAGCCAAAGCTGCACAACAACATGTGTTTGCAAGTCCGGCAGAGAAACTGTCCTGAAATTTCAAGACATCCGTCTGACGGAGGGGGATTTTCATATCCACTAGATCCTCAGGCTCCGTGTTTGGATTAGAAACGGAGGCGGTGGCCATCGCAGTTTGATGAACTGTAAGTGATAATGTTTTTGCCTGCATCTGTATGCGTGTGTTTGATGGTTCAGTTTTTGTAAACTCTCAAGAAGAAATCAATGGATGGATGTCTACCACTCATTAACCTTTGGAGGCTACGTGATTCAAGATGGCCGCTGCAGCTAATCAACAACGCCTCGACTCCGTCACTTTAATAGATATCAGGCGAAAGAGCATAATGGTAGATGAAGGAATGCTCAGAAGTACATTTAAATATAATTTTAATGCTATTTTAAAAACTCTAGCATGAAACGAAGAGGGTGAAATGAACACCTCCAGGAATCTCTCCTCAGTTTTTTGTAGAGGTCCTTCACTGAGAAACCATTTTTTTTACTTATTATTTTTTTAAACGATCAGTCACTCTGAGTTTAACATGCAGGCTAAACATGAAAATAGTCTCCTACACCTATCTCCTGCTTTAGCTTCTGATAGAAAATAGACGGTCAAACTCTAGGTTTTGAAAAGCCTGACGGATCTATGTCACACTGTCACACACCAATCATGGACTCACCCATCTTGGCTCATGATGGGGAAAGCTGATGTTGGTTAATCGTCCAGGAAACAGCAGAGAGCATCTCTGGTTAGAAGCTACCATTAGTATTAGCCACTTCACCACACAGCAGAGCTCCTTCAAGCTTGCGAGGAGCTAAATCATCAACCTTGCAGAACAGGGTCAGTGGTAGAGTTCTATTGCTGTTAGCCAATCAGAGACAAGGTGTCTAAATATCAGGAAATAACACTCCAAATCTTGTCGTCTGAAGCTACTTTCTCCGTGCTGAAACAGGTACGCCATAGCTTTTTTTTTGTCCCAGAGTGCAATTTACAAGGTATTCATTCCTGCAAATGTAGTAAAAATCTGAGTGAAGGAGTTAAAAGTGTTTTTGCACAAGCATATTTCTAAATTGAGGTGAAAAATTATTGCAAATGGATGAACACAGAGACAAAGTTGTTTCCTGACATACAAAAGGGTCACTTAGGACCTAGCTGCTCCTGAGAGTTCACGGCCACACCCCAGATGTCTGCATTCACACGTCTACACATTACTTTGGTTATTTAAACCTCTGAAACCTGACTTTACTGTGTGGGTTCTCCTCTTTGTTCCTCTTTTGCTCCTCTAGGTAATGAATGGGGGCTTGTCCTGTTGAACTGCTTGTCCCTGACGGTACGTTTTTAAAGGAGAACAAACTTACATGTTGATCTAGTCCACTAAAGAGATGGGTTCAGAAAGACTGTCCATGTAGGTCTGAATTTTCCTCATTCCCTGTCCTGTCTGTCATCTTTATCTCCTCACCAGTTTCACATTTTTATCAACGTGCAAACACATTTCACTTGGAAATACATTTAATTGCAATCTGGGCTGTTCTTTGCCTTGTGAGTACTGTGATCCTGAGTTGTTTGTTAAATATCGTGCAGCCTTATGTGTCACAGTTTTGCTGGTAGACAAATCAAGCTGTAATATCATCTACATGTATTTAGAATTTGTTGATTTTTGGCTCTTTCGTTTGAGAGCTGCAGGCAGAAAATACACTCAGCTGTTTGCAGTGTGGCCCAGAATGCAAATCTGCATTTAAAATTTGCATAGACAAACACAGAAAGACCCCAGCCACTTAAAAACTCCCACATTCAGCTGTTGTGGAGCTGGAGTTGGTACCTGCATGGGAGACTGACAGTGAGAGATGTCTATTCAGCTACAAGACGGTACTCACTGTGCAATTAAGCAGAGGCGAGATTGTTTGGAGGGCAACATACTCACATTCAACCAGACCTCTTATTCAATTGACCTTTAGTGTTCTATTTGTTTCCTCTCAATTACTTTCATTTGAATCCCTTCAGAATAAATGCCCCTGACAGGAAAATAGACCCAAAAACCCAAAGTGAAGAGCAGCCCCAGCACTCTTCTGCTATTTATTATGACTGTGACCTGCAGACCTTTCAGAACGCAGCTGCTCTGCTGAGTGACAGTCGATGCAAAGTAGATGTGGTCTGCAGCGCTCGCGTTGGTTCTGGACCAATCCAGACACGATTCAGCCCCCCCGGATATTAACATGAATAACCCGACTGCAGTTAAAACCTGACAGTTCTTGACGAAGTGTCGGTTTGTTGATCTAACTGTGTTTATCTGTTCTGAGGTCAGTTCAGCTCTCCGGGTTGTGGGGTTAAAGGTCAGCGGGAGAGCT